TGGCCCTTTAGTCCTTAAGAAATCAGTTTGGGGCATTTGGAAACTGGTTAGGGATGCCCTTGTCAGTGAAAATGAATTGGTTAAGGAACAAATTGAGGAGGCTAAGAAAACTCTTGGAGAAGTTCAGGAGGAATTGGCTAGGGAGTCCCTATGTGGATCTTCTTCCTCCTCTTCATCTACATCGGGGGATTCTTCTTCTGAGGAGGAGGAGGAGGAACTTTTGGAGGCCGATGGAGGAAAGGAAGTGGGCTCGAGGAGAAAAGAGAGGGAGAGGCTGCAATCCCAGGAAAAACAAGGTAAACAAACCAAGATGTTAAGATTCAAATCCTTAAGAGGTTGCACATCTCCTGCGGAGCCCTGCTCCCCTTCGGCTCCACCTGTGTATGAGGATTCCTGGGAGGAATGGTGGCAGGGTGAGATGGAACTGAAGGCCGAGGAGGCCCCTGTTACTAAAGGGGTGATTTTTCAGAAACAAAGAAGGGAGTGTCTTTGTGCCTATCCTGTTGTTAAGGTGCCTAATCCTGCTAATCCTGGGCAATTTATTGCCAACACTTGACCTTTCAGGAATTAAAGCAACTGAAGGAGGCTGTAGCATCTTATGGCCCTTTGGCCCCCTTTACCAAGGCTTTGATAGATTCTTATACTGCTATGAATTTAACTCCTAGTGATTGGCAACAGTTGTGTCGTGCTGTTCTTTCAGGGGGGAATTATTTGCTCTGGAGGAGTGAATATCAGGAGCAATGTATTAGAACTGCACGACTCAATGCCCAAGCTGGCAACCCCCAGGTCAACCTAGAAATGTTAACCGGTACTGGGGCCTGTGAAGCTCTGCATAACCAAATTCAATACAATCCTGGAGTGTATGCTCAGGTTGCCACTGCAGCTGTGAGAGCATGGGGCCGTCTTCCCAATGTAGCTGCAGGGGAACAATTAACCAAAGTCCTTCAAGGACCTTCCTAGCCTTATTCAGATTTTGTGGCTCGACTGATGGCATTAGCTGGAAATTTTTGGGGGGATGTGGATTCTGCTATGCCAGTGATTAAACAATTGGCTTTTGAAAATGCCAATAAATACTGCCAAGAAGCTATAAGGCCCCATAAGTCCAAAAGTCTTAATGAATATTTGAAAATTTGCAAAGAGATTGATGGGAATTTTGTGCAGGCCCAGGTGCTGGCTGCTGCCTTAAATAAAGGATTGAGGAGATCTCCTTCAGACAAAAAATGCTTCGGTTGTAGGCAAGCTGGACATTTTGTTTTGTTTTGTTTGGGTTTTTTTTTGTTTTTGTTTTTTTTTGTATTTTCGAGACAGGGTTTCTCTGTGTAGTCCTGGCTGTCCTGGAACTCACTCGGTAGACCAGGCTGGCCTTGAACTCAGAAATAACCTGCCTCTGCCTCCCAAATGCTGGGATTAAAGGCATGTGCCACCATTGCCCGGCCAAGCTGGACATTTTAAAAGAGAATGTCCTAGTAAAGGAGAGAATAGATCTGTCAATAATACTGAGAGAGTTCCCGCAGCCGAATGTCCCCGATGTCAAAAAGGATATCACTGGGCCGGAGATTGTAGATCAAAATTTGATTTTCAAGGCCAGCCTTTGTCGCAAACGGTCTCAGGGCCCAGCCTCACGTTCCGGAAAATGTATATGGGGCATTGGCCAATGCCATCAAATTTGTTCCACAAAGCAACAATCCTTTTTTTTTTTTTTTTTTGGTTTTTCGAGACAGGGTTTCTCTGTATAGCTCTGGCTGTCCTGGAACTCACTCTGTAGACCAGGCTGGCCTCAAACTCAGAAATCTGCCTGCCTCTGCCTCCAAAGTGCTGGGATTAAAGGCGTGCACCACCACTGCCCGGCGCAACAATCCTTTTCAATTGCAGACCTCTACTGCACCCCAGGGAGTGCAGGATTGGATCTCTGCACCTCTGCCCGAGCAATATTAACTCCTGAATTGGGGGTGCAAGCTATACCTACCAGGGTATTTGGACCATTGCCCCCCGAACACTTGGGAGTTGATTTTAGGGAGGAGCAGCATAGCTTTAAAAGGAATTCAAGTGTTTCCTGGGGTTATTGATTCAGATTATCAAGGGGAAATAAAAATCATGGTAGCCAGCCCTCGAGGTGTACTTGTCATACCATTGGGAGAAAGGATAGCTCAATTAATCTTGATGCCTATGCTGAAAGGATCCAACAAGATCATTCATTCACCCAGAGGCAATAAAGGATTTGGCAGTACCGTTTCAGCCTCTGTTTCTTGGACGGCCGAGTTACATCAGCGCCCTGAATTAGAACTAGTTATCTCTGGAAAGAAATTTAAGGGCTTGCTTGATACTGGAGCAGATACCAGTGTTATCTCTCAACAATTTTGGCCTTCTTCTTGGCCTGCCCAACTGGCGAGAACACGAGTGGCTGGAATTGGTGGCTCACCCTCAGTAATGCAAAGTGTGAATCATCTAAAGTGGGCCGATAATGAAGGCCATTCAGGTACTTCTCTGCCCTATATTATTGCCGATTTGCCTGTTAACTTGTGGAAAAGAGATGTTATGGAGGCTATGGGAGCCGTTCTCACTACTCAAATGGCTACCCCTCAAAGGATGCTACAGCGCTGGGGACGGAAAGAGGGTCAAGGACTTGGTAAGCAGCAACAGGGTCAATCTACTTGCATATCAGTTTTAGAGGAACTGTCACGGAAAAGGGGTGATAGAACTGGTCTAGGTGGTTCAAATTTATCCTAAGGGCCACTGTTACTTCGCCTCCTATTAATTGGAAGGATAATCAGCCTATATGGATTGAACAGTGGCCCTTACCTAAAGAGAAATTGGAGGCTGCCCATTCCTTGGTAAAGGAGCAACTTGAGGCTGGACATTTGGTCCCTTCCACATCACCCTGGAATACTCCAATTTTTGTGATAAAGAAAAAATCTGGTAAGTGGAGGTTGCTGCAGGACCTTAGAGAGGCCAATAAAACCATGGAAGTTATGGGAGCTCTCCAGTCTGGGCTCCCTTCCCCTATTGCCATTCCAAGTAAATAGCATCTTACTGTCGTAGATCTAAAGGATTGCTTTTTCACCATTCCATTGCATCCTAATGATTGTAAGCGCTTTGCCTTTTCTATACCTTCTATAAATTTTAAGGAACCTGCATTAAGGTATCAGTGGGTATGCCTCCCCCAAGGAATGGCTAATAGTCCTACCCTTTGCCAAATGTTTGTGGCCCAGGCCCTTTTGCCAGTTGAAAGGCTATATCCTTCCTGTTATATCATTCATTATATGGATGATATATTATTAGCTGCCCAAGGGAAGAGCTATTGATGGCTTATGCCAAGTTACAGGGAGATATGAAGAAAGCTGGGTTGGTTATTGCTCCTGAGAAGGTTCAAATAGGATATCCTTATCAATATTTAGGTTATAAATTTTTAAAAGAAGGGGTTCGTCCTCAGAAGGTTCAAATTAGGGTAGATCAATTAAAAACATTGAATGATTATCAAAAACTATTAGGAAATTTAAATTGGGTGCGACCTTCGGTTGGAGTGTCTTCAGGGGAACTTAAGCCTTTCTTTGATATTTTGCAAGGAGATGCCGACCCTACCTCTGAGAGGGTCCTTAGTAAGGAAGCCAGAGCTGCTTTATCAAGGTTTCAAGAAGCCTTATCCTCTACTATGTTACAACGTATAGATTATCATCAAGATTTGTGGCTGCTGGTTTTCCCATCTCAATTTGCTCCCACTGCCTTATTATGGCAGGGGGCCCTCTTTATTGGATTCATTCACCAGCTTCTCCTCGCAGGATTGTTTCAGGTTATCCTACCTTGATTTTACAATTACTGCTGAAGGCAGAGGGGGTCTCCAAACAGTATTTTGGCCTTAGAATTAGAAAAATTATTCTTCCCTATACCAAGGAGCAATTAAGTTATCTAATTAGTAATGATGAAGGCTGGGGAATGTTTGCTTGCTATACCTCAGCACAGTTTGATAATCATTATCCTCCAGATAAAAGGGTCCAATTCTTTAAAATGCACCCTGTTTGTTTTCCTAAGATAGTATATCGGGACCCAATTCCTAATGCCAGAGTAGTTTTCCCTGATGGATCTTCTTCGGGAATGGCTGTGGTTGTTTTTGATAAAATAGTAGAAAAGGTTTTTATTTACAGGGCCTCTGCTCAACAGATAGAATTAGAAGCCCTTTGTTTAGCTTTGGGTTTGTTTACTGAACCCTTAAATATCTTTACTGACAGTATTTATGTGGCGAATATCATAAAAAAATTAGAAATTGCTCCTTTTATCGATCCCCATTCTACTGTAGCCTTTGTTTTGAATAAAGCACAGAAGCTTTTATGGCAGAGGAATAATTCCATGTATGTTGGACATATACGAAGTCATACAGGCCTCCCAGGTCCCCTTAGTGAGGGGAATTCCTTGGCAGATCAGCACACGAGATGCATGCTTGTTGCTGAAGATTCTTCCCTTTCTGCTGTATCTCATGCTCAGCAATTGCATGACAAATTTCATCTTAATGCCCAGAGCCTAAAGTTTCATACTGGCTGTACCAGAGAGCAGGCTCTGAGGATTAGTTCCTCGTGTCCAGCATGTGCCCCATTTATTCATGTTCCAAACTTGGGTGTTAATCCTCGTGGTCTCATGCCCAATGACGTTTGGCAAATGGATGTTACCCATGTAAATAGTTTTGGTAAGTTATCCTTTGTTCATGTTTCTGTAGATACCTTTAGTGGCCTGATCTTTGTATCGGCTCACGGTGGAGAAAAGGCTAAGAATGTTAAGGGGCACTGTTGAGCAGCCTTCGCCTATTCGGGAGTTCCTAGAACTATTAAGATGGACAATGGCCCCGCATATATTAGTTCCTCAGTTCAGACATTTTTTAAGGATTATGAGGTTAGCCATAAAACTGGAATTCCATATAATCCCCAGGGACAAGCTATAGTAGAGCGCTGTCATACCACTATAAAAAGTTACTTAGAAAAAATAAAAAGGAATGAACATGGCATCACACCACATAATAAACTATCTATTATACTTTATATTTTAAATTTTCTTTTAGTGGATGGTGATGGCAGATCTGCAGCTGAGCGCCATTGGAGACCAAATAAGCCCGTAAAGGAAGCGTTGTTTCTGTGGAAAGATTTAACATCTGGGGTTTGGAAGGGCCCTGATCCAGTGTCATTAAGGATTAGAGGATCGGTTTGTGTCTTTCAAAAAAATGCAGATGGGCCTCTTTGGATTCCTGAGCATTGTGTTCGCCCTGTGGATGAGCCCGGTAAACGGAATGGAACAATGGAGCCTGGTCCAAAATCCACTGATACTGATGAGTGTGAGCCTTGATGCCCCCGTGCCTGTCTTGATATGACCCTTTTGTTTTGTTTAATCAGACCAGTGAGGAGGGGGGCGGCTAAATTGTTCTGCTGAGTCTTGTTTTCTAGCAAATTGTTGGATTGGACTTATGGCGATACCGGTGGAGTCTTTTGGGGCTGAAGTTTTCATCTAGAAGTGACAGAAAAGAGATTTTGGAATTACTGCCGGGATCAGTGCCACCATTGCCATTGCTGCAGGGGCTGCCGTGGGTGCAGGCATTGCCTTATCCAGCAGCATACAAACTGCCCAGACATTGAATGAACTTTCAGGGAGGGTACAGATACATTGCTTTCTCAGAGTGATATTCAGTCTCATTTTCATATTGCTGTTTTAGATTCAAATCAACAACTTGCTTTGGTTCAAGAACAAGTAGATTTTATGTTATCCACCAGACATGTTAGCTATGATCCCTTCTTTCATGCCATTTGTGTTACACCCGTGCATGTAATTAATGCTTCCTCTTCTGTTTTTAATAAGATTGTATTAGTTAATAATACCAGAGTTGATCCTATTGATGGGTCATCTATCTTGAGCATGTTTCTTCAAGTGGGAAAGCTGGTGAAAGAGTGGGCTGGAGTTACTTCCTTGGCAGTTTTTAGCCTAATTTTGCTGATGCTTGTTTTTTGGGGTGTCTGTGCCGCCTTCGGGCACAACAGGTACAATCTCAAGCTGTTGTGCGAGGATTGGTGCTTTTACATGGTCAAGGGCATCCCTCTGCCCAAGTGTGGCTGACCATGCTACAAAGAGCGTTATCATTCACCTAGGCCCGAGCTGCAGCCGGGACTGTAAGGGAGTTTTCCCTGAGAGACATGCCTGGCTGCATAGGGGTTGGTGTTGATACAGTTCCCCTTAGGAAAAAGACACTGGGATAGGTATGACCATACCCCTTCACTGTACAACAGCAGGGGGCTGGAGGTCATTACAATATCCCCAATATTCACTGAGGGTCTGGTCTCTGTCTCTGCTCGGCCTCTAATTAAAAGAAAAAGGGTGAATTGTGAGTCACCACCCTCTGCACCTGCGCTGTTATGCCCGCTCCCCTGTCTCTATGCATTTCCCCTGTGAAGACTGCTCAAGGAGAAATCCAAGCTTAAGTAGTAGGCTGCCGAGTGTGTCTCCTTGTTCCTGTTTTTATTCCTGTTCCTGTTTGTGTTCCTGTTTTGTGGGGAGTATAAAAGGGAGCTACACAGTTGAAGATATAGCATTTGGTCTTTACCAGATGACTCGTCTTTCTTTCTCTCGCCCTCAGCCCTCTGCCGATCCAAGGAACTCAGTCAGCTATGCTGGTGTAGCTGACATACATGTGCACCACAGCACACATGTACGCATGCACATGTGCACATGCATACACAGAGAGAGAGACAGAGACAGAGAGAGAGAGACAGAGAGAGAGAGACAGAGAGAGAGAGACAGAGAGAGACAGAGAAAATAATACAGTTTGAAAAAAAATCTGTCATTATTAAACCAAAAGATGCCTCACAGGGAAACATTCAGAGAGGAACGTTCCGCAGAGTGCATCTGAGGTTTTCTCACGGGTTTTACCTGGGCTTGTTCTCCATGGCTCTAGGAGGAGCGGGTGGGAGAGGCTCAGCCTTGGAGGCTCTGTCTCTGAGAACGGGGGAGAGTGCTGCACCACTCGCTGGACCAGTAGGTTCAGGGAAAGGAGTGAGTGTCAACTGTCTACAAGGCAAGTGTTTCGGAGGAAATAGGTACCACCTGTGCCGTGCACACTTGTGGTTCCAGCGCTCAGGAGGCAGACAGCAGGATCATACATCAAGGCCAGTCTGGGGGAATGGAGAAATCCTTAACCTACCTGAGCCAGGGCCATAGCGTTAGAACTGCAGGAACCGGTCGGCTCTTTCCGGGATTTCTTTATGAAAAACTGGGCTTCAGACAAGCAAAGCTGGAATAGAGAGAGTCATGAATGCAGATGCGCCTACAAGTTCTCGCACTAATTTATGTAGTAAGAGAAGGTTTGTTGTTTTTTTTTTTCCTGTCATTCCTCCTTCTGAATCATTTCTCATTACTATCCTTACACCTAACCCCAAACCAGAGATTTCTACAGAAAGCTCTGAGGAAACCCAGCAGTGCATTGATGGTCTCCTGTTTTCATGGAGGACCCAGGCTCAGTTCCCAGAACCTACACAGTGGCTCACAACCATCTGCAACTCCGGCCCCAGGAGACCTGACTCCCAATTTAAGAACCAGGGGTACAGCAAAACACTGTACACATAAAATAAGCTTTAAAAAAATGTGCCGCCAAGCCCGGCGGACAGGCAATTATTGACTCTCAGTAATCTAAAAATGGAGGGTACATGGCCAGATACTGTAAATGTGGAAAATATTCATGATTTTTGGACCTAGGAGATGAGGAAAACCAGAATGTGTTATTACAGCCAACAAACGTGTCGAACCCTTCCTGCATTACCAAGTATTACCTATGGGTTTTACATTTCTGTTTGTTCGTTTCCTAGGGAGTGGTTGCCATTCTTCTATTGAAGAGGGCATCTGAGGTTTTGGACTTGGTAGGCAAACACTATACTATATTCAGAGCCCTCAATTATTCAGAACAAGTCTAAAGGCATGAAGGAGCTACACACAGCACAGAGAAAACAGACAAGGCTCAGAGGGAGAGTGCTTGCCTCAACACATAAGGGCCTGAGTTCAAACCCCAGCACTAGAAAGAGGAAAGGGGCCCGAAAGTGAAAGGTCCTGCTACCAAGCAAACCGTTTTGTACCTTTACTGGTAGCTGAGATCAATGACAACCCTTGTGATGCTGTCTGAGGCGTCACCCAGGAGGAAAAGGCAGGTGGCTCGCTGGCTTAAAGGCAGCCTGTGATTTCCTCTCCAAATTAAATCTTGTAATGTTCGTAAAAGTGCAGTTTTCCCAGAGGGCGAAGTAGCTCTTCCAATATGCGGAAACAGTCTGACAACATATTGCCAGTCAGAATATAAGTTCAAGTCTTCATGCACCAGATGCAAAAAGACCCAGTTTCAGCACCTAACACTACTCTGAGCTGAGGTTTCCTGAGCTGCCCATGAATGGCCCTTTTGATTTACTGTTTTTACAGCTGTTCCATTAGAGGAACCATCTGTAAAAACCAAAGCAGCTGGCTGATGCAAGGGTTCCTCTGATACTCCTGAAAGGAAAAGTTATGGGATGTAATTTTAGGAGTTGTAAAAGGGGGTGAGAAGAGAGATCATGTAATATTTGTCCTGTGAAATTAATCAAACTTATATGCCATGAGTCACCATGTGTAAGAAGATGACTTAACTGTTCTACAGAGTGGGGTTTTACAATACTAGAAACATCCTACCCAAATATCTCTTTGCTTTGAGTTATTAAGAATCTGAGAAGCAATAAAGAAGGATATGAGGCTATAACTTTCTTAGCTGTAAGTGGCGTAAGGATCCATTCAAGTGGCCCGTTCTGCTAGAGACATCCAGTAGGAATGGGATCCTAGGACCAGGCTCTGAGGCTGTGTATCAGTGATTCTCTAGCTGTTGGTTATGTGTCTCCATTGAACTAACTGTAGGCTTGTCTTGCTTCTTCAGTCGATGTTTTCGATCAGAATCTCTTCACGTGTCATAAACGGGCTTAAGTTCAACAGTAGTCATTTTTAAGAATGGGACAATCTAATTTATATTTCCTGCAAGTTTTTGAAAATCGTTTAACACTGTGAGCTTATTTAGTCTTAATTCTAAAGGCTGGTGGGTCACTGTCTGTAAACATGACCCAGATAATGAAATGGATGTTGCTCCTGTGTTTTCTGGAGCTACCTTAAGCCTATAGCAGACGGCTGAGAAACTGGTTGTTGTAATAGTCCCTGTAGGTAGGCTCTGTGCTTGTGGGAAATGAACCGAATGAGCATGTGAGTGTGCATCTCTAATTTTTTTTTGTAAAGTCGTACGTACAAATTTTTGACCAAAGGTAGGACTACTTTTCACACCTTGCAAGAGAACTTTCCATTGATATCACAACATGGCTGTATGAAATTTGTAGAGGGGAGACTAAAGGCAAATCTTTTACAGTCTTAAGGACTCAAAACAATAGTAAAGAAGCATCTTGGAAATCTATACTATGATACTACCATCCCTAGGAACAGCAGGAGAGGAAAAGCCAGGCTGAAGAGCTCCTGCGTCTTCCACAGTCTCATTAATTTCTCAAGTCTTGTAGGAGCCTCCATTTTCCTGATTTCTTTCTTTTATTTTATATATATACATATACATATGATGAGTATGCTGTAGCAGTCTTCAGACACACCAGAAGAGGGCAGCAGATCCCATTACAGATGGTTGTGAGCCACCATGTAGCTGCTGGGAATTGAACTCAGGACCTCTGGAAGAACAGTCAGTGCTCTTAACCGCTGAGCCATCTCTCCAGCCCCTGATTTCTTTTAGGTAACAAATATAGGCATATTCCCGTTGGAGGGTTCTATATGACCCAGTTGCAACTGCTTATTAACCAAATCTGTGGCTGCTTGTATCTTTTCTGTAGTCAAGAGCCACTGTTCCACCCACACAAGAGCCTCAGATTTCCAAGTAATGAGTCAGCAGCCATTTTAACCCTGACTCAAATAAAATAATAATAATAAAAAATTAAAAAAAAAACACAAAAAAAACCTTTTTTTTTTTTTTTTTTGAGACAGGGTTTCTCTGTGTAGCCCTGGCTGTCCTGGAACTCACTCTGTAGACCAGGCTGGCCTCGAACTCAGAAATCCACCTGCCTCTGCCTCCCAAGTGCTGGTATTAAAGGCGTGCACCACTACCGCCCGGCAAAAAACCTTTTCTCAAATGATAACCTCTGTCCATTTTGATTCTTGTTTAGGTTGTATGGGTTCTGTAATACTCTATTTTTTCTTATTCCCATATTGGATTAAATTTCCTTTGTATCATTTGAGCAGTAACTTTATCATCGGAACTTATTAAAAGAACTCCCAGCTGTCCCAAAATATCTCTCCCCCATAACACAAAAAGTAGGCATGGAATTACATGGGACAAAAGGACCTTGTGTGTCCATGTTAGGATCAGGGCACTCCGGGCCACTTTAGTAGCCTATCCCAGGGCAGCTAAAGTGGATGGAGTGACCTGGGTTGGCCAAGAAGATGGCTAATCCTTTGCAGCCACAGAAGAACATCAGCTCCTGGATCTATAAGACCCCAAATAGCCTTACTCTGGACCTTTAAGATTTGTATGGGGCATGAATTTTTAATTTCCTGCATCCAAACTGCCATATCACTAGAACCAAGGCCTCATGTTTCTCCTTTCTTCAGGGAAGCTCTTTTTCCTAATGAAAGATAAGGAAGCAAAAGCAGTTACACAATTTGGGGGGGAGGCTTCATGTATTTGGTTTTGGTAGAAGGCTGAAACATAACCTTGATCTCGCCTAACAAGGTGTTTCTCCTTGAACTCTTACAGGAGGTAGCAACAGTCCATCCTTATGGTATCTGGAACAGCAGTCTTTTTCCCAATGAAATACCATTTGACAACAGGGGCATACTGGTTTTGGCATATTAGTGTGCGTTGTGATTGCCCGTGGCATTCTGCCAAAGCCTGGAAATGTCCCTGTAGCAGAAAATCATTTCCCTTTACAGCCCCTACAGCCGAGTTGTCCACATGCAAAGCAAGACTTGTTTCTTTTCCTCAAACTATTATTTTCTTGATTCTTAAAGAAATTGAGAGCCGGGCGGTGGTGGCGCACGCCTTTAATCCCAGCACTTGGGAGGCAGAGGCAGGCGGATTTCTGAGTTCGAGGCCAGCCTGGTCTACAGAGTGAGTTCCAGGACAGCCAGGGCTATACAGAGAAACCCTGTCTCGAAAAACCAAAAAAAAAAAAAAAAAAAAAAGAAATTGAGCAGAGGACTGTTCCCTCGAAGTGGCTGTAATAGCTACTCCTCGCGAATGTGCGGAGGGGGTGACCTCCACACATGGTCTGTTGTTTTCCTAACTAGTCTCAACAATATCTGACAAGCACGGCTCACATTCTCCAAGGCCAATTGCTTAACTATAGTCTGTGCAGCTTCATCTTATGGGGCCATCTTAAGGACTGCTTCCATCCGTCAGGACCAGAGGGCTTCCAGCTTCGTCGTCAGCCTTTTGCCTGAGACTAACTAACCCTGTAGTCGTATCATCGGCGCAAGGGTGGGGGCTCCTCCGTGCAGCTACAGCAAAAGTTGAGCCCTGAGAGCATCCTTGTCCAGATGTAACAGGTCTCACGCCAGAACCCAGTCCCGAGATCCCATTAGCACATCCACGGACGCACTTGTTACCTTTTTGGCAACTTTTTGAAAAGTGACCTTTTTTTAGTCAATTCCTCATAGTTTGCTTTCCATAATAAAAAAGTTCCTTCCAGATAAACATGACCTAGCAACCTGTAAACCATCATAGGGGGTCATCCATCTCCTAAATAAGGAGAGGTAGGGCCATAGCCTGCCGTGGCCTGTTTAAGTTCCTTGAGCAGTTTAGAAGGCAGGGGCTCCCGTGAGGGCGCTTCACTCCATTCATCATTCAAGAAGACTGGGAAATATTCAAGCTGTTCTCCCAGTTGATGGGCTTGCGTAAGAGCTCCCTTACTTCCTGAAGAGGCAGCAATATTCCTCCTTTTTTAGGCTTGGTAAGTTGGGATGGGGTCTTAGAGGTTAAAGGAGGCCAAATTGGATTGTGATACTTT